CATTTTGTCGAGGAAGTCCTACGCGGTTCTGCGATTTGGAACCGGCATCCCATTGTTTGGAACCAGGTTTCAAATCCTGTTCTCGAGGAAGTCCCAAGCGAAACGCTCGTTTTTCCAATTGTTTGGAACCGATTTCTATTGTTTGGAACCGCTTTGGAATCGTCAAGAAGGCCATTTTGGCGAGGAAGTCCTACGCTGCCCTGCGATTTGGAACCGCCATCCCATTTAGCCTTATAAAGATTTAATGAAGGGCCCAAACCTGGTTCCAACCGTCAGATTGCCACCCCCCCCCTGCCTGCCTGCCCCCCGTTCACGTTGTAACAGGCTCCCTGTCCCTAACAGGACGACGCTCGCACGCCGGACGCGCATCGACCGACCCTCTGCAAGATCCACGAACATTCATCACGGCACAGTAGGAGAGCTGGAAAATCCCGTCCAACATGCCACACGCCAGTGACGTGCGAGGCGACTGCGACAGCGGCACTCTCCCAGCGCTAACGGCACGGACGCAGAAAACAGCGCCTACACACACGCACACGCACACAAACACACACACACACACACTTTTCGTCGGCGGCGAGGCAGAGTTAGCTGCACCAGCGAGAGAGCTAGACGGGGGCACCGAAAAGCGAATTGGCCAGCATGCTCACACGCACAACTACACACTACACACAACCACACACACACACACGCACACACGCACACGCACACACACACAGGCACAGACATATACACAAACATAGACACATACTCTTGCACACCTTTGCACACTCTGCCGTCGAAGCGATCGGTGTGCCAAGTCCTGCGCCGCCACACGCGCCAACCCCGAGGTGGGTCGCTGGGCACGAGTGCTTCACGCGAAAGACGGGGCGGCCTACAGAAAATAGAAAGAGAAAAGCCACACCAGCTTTGCGAGAAGAGCTATATAACGCTAGGGCAAACATCACGCAGGACGATACCATGCGGTCCCTGGCGGCAGCCGGACGAAGTTATGATCGGGGCGTGGTCCGCCAGTTCTCCAACGGCGGCCGGCGGCGCACCCTTCGTAGTGTGTGTGTGTGTGTGTGTCTGTGTGTGTGTGTCTGTGTGTGTGTGCGTGAGCGTGCGTGTGTGTGCGTGTTCGTGTGCGTGCGTGCGTGTGTGTGTGTGTGTGTGTCTGTGTGTGTCTGTGTGTGTCTGTGTGTGTGTGTGTGTGTGTCTGTGTGTGTGTGTCTGTGTGTGTCTGTGTGTGTCTGTGTGTGCGTGTGTGTGCACGTGTGTGTGTGTGCGTGTGCGTGTGCGTGTGTGTGTGTGTGTGTGTGTGCGTTGTTGCGTGCGTGCGTGCGTGCGTGCGTGTGTGTGTGTGTGTGGCATGCGCAGCCCCGTGAAGCCCTCTAGGGGCGAGACGCACGTCCAAAAACAAGACGAGAAACAAAAAAAACAAACATGCCGAAGGGGCAACGCTGCGCATGTCCACCTCAGCTCGCAGCAGCACAGGCGGCCGGCCCCGTGGCATGGGTGCCTCAAACAGGCCCTGCAAGGCCCCCTCGCACACCTACCGGTCACCTCCCTGTCTCTCCGCGGAGGCTCCGGCGCCAGGCGGGGGCCGCCTTCCCGGAGGTCCGTGGGCGTCCTGGCCCGGGAGCGATCCCGGAAAAGAGGAGGGTGCGCAAAGAGACTGCAACCCTCGTCAAAGTTCACCTCGAAAATGTCTTACGTGGCGGAACTGTTCGTGGGGAGACACTGGAAAGAGTAGGGGTGACTGCGAGGTACTTGTATGCGCCGCCCCTCCAACGTCGGTCATCATCGAACTTCCGAGTCGTTCCCGGTCAGACCACTTTTGCCTTGGCCCCGACATTGAAGGGGCGTCTATCGACATTGAAGGGCGCGCCGACATCGCACGGGCGTGGTCGCCAGTTTTGAAGATAATTTTGACGAGGGTGGTAGAGCGGGAGAGGGCCAAAAGGCAGGTCTTACCACAAACCTCCTCTTTCGACGTGAGACATCATCTCCACGAGAGAGGCGCTCGGGCCAGAGTCCAGAGCGAAAGCTGCTCGAGCTCAAGCGGGCTGCCACGGTACAAGCCGGCATACCTACCTATCATTAGGTCGGGCGTGTCCCCATACAGGCGGATTTCGGAAGAAAATTTAAGAATAGTCAAACAATATTCAAAAGTAGCCTAAAAATAATCAAAAAATCGTCCCCTGATTATTTTTTGACTACTTTCGGATATTCATCCTGTAGAGGGACATGTCCGACTTAAACCCATCGCCACATAAGGAAATCTCCTCAAGCACAGACAGGGCGCGAGGGAGGAGTGAGGGCGCACGCGCGGACACAGAGCTCCCTCCGCCGAGCGCTGACACAAGCCTTCCCGTGCCATCGGAACCTACCGCGGCTATCAACCTACCAATGTGACTTCGCCTGTGGGCCAATGTGACCCCGTGGGCGCGCGCAACTAGCAATACCACATGTGCAGCGCCGGATCGCCCTGAGATAGTGGGCCGCGGGGGCGACATATTCAGCCGTTAATGACATAAACGACGTGCTGGAGCCTGAACTGGATTTCCTATGCAAGGTCTCAAAATACATGACTAACAACTGCGTGTGACTAGGGAGCGAGGACAAACCGGCTCAAAACTTGCCACCGACCCGACTCTAGCATCTTCTTGACTAGGTTGAGATGACTTGGCCAACTCGATCACGGAAGTCACTTGTGGATCACGCAGATAAGCCATTGCCCTGACAGTACATCGACAACATACACACTTGAGGGGGATGTTCATTACCCCCCGGCCCCCGAATAGAATGCTGACTTTAGCATGGGATGTGGTTTGGGGCTCGAATATTTTTGTCCACCCATGCCTCCATTGCCGCACCCTCAAATCAATTGTTGGGGTCTGGGGGGTATCTTGCGCCGCAGGGTTCGAACTTATTGTACATGTGCGGGAGCTCAATTGGAGTGTCATCTGCGCGCTCAGTTTGCAGTAGCAAACCACTTTTTGAGTTACTCCTCCAGCGATGTGCAACACGATCGCGCCGCATGATAGCGAGAGAAGCAGCATCCGTTGCATCCACACGTTTGGGCGAAACCGCTCGAGCCCAGCTGTGTTGACCATGGGCGACGGCCGAGCTTAGCAAGCGGCAGGGGTAAAAAGGCGATAGAAAACGAGTCATGCAGGACGGAGGCGCGTGTGCGGTGGCATGAAACGAAGCGAGTGGACAAAGGAGACGTTGCAGCACGTGCGACCGCCCTGGGGGAGAAGAGGAGGAAGGAGAAGCCAGCCACGCGGGCAGTGGGCACACGTGCGTATCATGCAGTTTGCATCACATTCACACGCGAACACACAAACACACCTCCTGCGGCGCGCTCTGACCCGCATCTCAAGGCGAATACGGACGTGGCCTCGAGGACGCCCCTGAAGCCCAGGCAGGGCGAAAAGTTCCCAGAAACGCTGGTACTCCAGAGATCCGATGTGCCGTTTCTCGCACCAAGGATGGGCCGAACGGGCAAGAATTCAAGGGTACCCCTGGGAAGGTTGCCCATCCTCCATCCTTACCATGCGGGTTGACTGTACTTCCGCCGCAAGGAAGAACCGCTGTTCAATGCGCTGGCTGCCTGGGCACCCGCGGCGGCCGCGGCGGCGGCCACGGGAAAGCGACGGCGGACGGCGGCCACGGCCACGGGGCGGCTGGCTGCCTAGGCATCCGACCCCACGACGGACGGCAGCGGCGGCGGCGCCACGGCACAGCGGCGGCCGAAGGGGTGGCGGCCCGGCACGCCCGAAGGCGGGCTCCGAGCGGCCCTTGAGGCCGTCGCCGTCGCAGTCGCAGAAGCCGGACGCCCCCGCGGGGACCTGGCCGTGCGCGGGGGGGCTCACGTGGGAGGGCGCCAACTACAGCGAGGGCATCGGCTCAGGGGCCGTTGGATGGTCTGGAAGCCCCCCCTACACTTTCCATGTGCTCTGGAGTTTCGTCTTCCCCCTCCCCACATCCCATATTGTCCCACATGTCCTCCTGGGAGTCGACGATTCTTTTGGCCTACAGTCGCCCGTCCCATAAGGATGCGCGATAAGGATGCGAGGGCCTTGGACGCTTATTCCGCAGCTTTTCGTCGAGCGGGACGCGGCCAACGAAAGTGGCCAAAGGATGGACCGAGGAGACAAGGATGCAGGCGTACAGTTGGGAAGGCTGCCCATCCTTACTATGCGGGTTGACCTGGGGCCATCCCTGGGCCCAGGATCTGCGAACACCGCCCTCCTGGCTGGGGCCTAGAACGCACATCTGCACCGCCAACGCGCCCACGCCGCGCGAGAGCCACGGGCCCCGCGAGGGGAACAGCGGGTCCCCGGCCCATGGTGCCGCTCCGCCCAGGGACCAGGGCCATCGCTCCCGTCCAAATGTCGCTCTTGGTGGCGGTACCCGCGGCCCCCCGAAGCCCTGAGATCCTTCGATGCAGAAGAATGTCGCGACGCCGCGAGAAATCACGGCAGGAGACCTACAATGCCCCTCGAAGTCAAACGCAAGTGTTTCTCCTACCCCCTCGCCCCCAGATTTCGATGTTGATGAACGCGCGCAGCGCGGCCCGCGGGGTCAACAGAACAATTGCAGTCGCCAGCATCGGCGTCAACATTGAAATTGGCGGCCTGGAGGCGTCGCCAAGTCGCGGGAAAACATTGCGTTTGATTTCGAGGAGGGATGTAGACGCCGTGTGAGCGAGGATCAAACACGGGCCTTAAGCGAGATGACATAGCAACCTTACGCGGCGCCTTGCGCGGGCCGCCAGCGCGGCACGCCAGACTGGAAACGCGGGTGCTTCGCAGCGCCACGAGAAATCACGACAGGAGGCCCAGACCCCGCTTGAGCGAGGATCAAAAACGGGCCTTACGCGAGATGACGTAGCGACTGACGCGGCACCTTACGCGGGCCGCCAGAGCGGCACGCCACACTGGAAAAACGCGGGCGATCACGCGCGACCATGCGCGGGCAGCTTACGCGCCGATGTCGACGCAAATGACCCCGTTTTTAACGTCGCTCATGTTTTCGCTGCATCTGTCCAGCCGGATGTGGTGGTCCTGGGGCACGAAAGCGAGCGAAAGCGCTGGCCGCGACACAGAAACGCAGCGTCGATCTCAGGCGAGGTGTCCGCCCGGCCGGCCGAAGCTCAGAGATCAAACGCCCAGATCTCATAGTTCCGTTCCCCCCTCCTCCTCGTCGTCATCGTCGTCGTCGTCGTCCTCCTCCTCCTCCTCCTCCTCCCCGCGAAACGTCCGAAGACGGCCCGCTAGTGGGCAGCGCGGGGGGCCCTCGGGCCCAGCTCGTCTGGCACCGGACTGCTTGCATGACGAGGTCGGCGTTCTCTTATTCGGCGTCTCGTCACTGCCTCCTCCTCCTCCTCCTCCTCCTCCTCCTCCTCCTCCTCCTCCGGGGGGTCTGGCTCTGGACCTCTGCTTGATGCGACTGTTTGCAGCAGTGCGTGCTGTGGGGGAGAGGCGCCACCTGCTCGAGGCAGGCGCCCAAAGCAGCCCAGATCTGCTCCCCTGGGGGGGGAGGGGGGGTGCGAGGGCCCGCGCCGATCGACAAAACCATGGGTAAAAAAACGACCACATGAGAGGCAAGGGTGCGCTTGCCTTCTTCGGCCGTGGGCCGGCGGGACCCGCGTCAGCTCTCACTACGCCACAATCGTCGCACGGCGCGACGAGCGGGGGGGCCGAACGAGAGGGCCCGCAAAAAAGTGAACGGAGCGAGGGGCCAGGGAAGGCACCACGCGGCGGAGGGACAACGACCGAGGAGGCAGGGGCTGCGCTGCCAGTAGACAAGCGCGCTCCACTACTCGCAAAGTAACTGCTCGCAGGTGGCCTGGATCCGACGCAGGGGATCTACGATCCATCACAAAGCGGCGAACAAGTGTTTTTTCGGACGTTTGCGAGCAGGCACTTTGCGAGTAGTGGAACGCGCTCGGTGAGCCAGGGGGCACCAAGAGTGAGCACCGCGGGAGCTGGAGGAGGAGAAGGAGGATGAGGAGGAGGAGGAGGAGGAGGAGGAGCAGGAGGAGGAGGAGGAGGAGGAGGAGCAGGAGGAGGAGGAGGCGGAGGGGGAGGAGGAGGAGGAGGAGGAGGAGGAGGAGGAGGAGGAGGAGGAGGAGGCGGAGGAGGAGGAGGAGGAGGAGGGAGGAGAGGCGACAGGGCGGCCGCCGGGGAGGGGGCGGCGGGCCCAGGCGGGGCGCTCGGAGCAGGCTGGCCTTTGCACGGCGGTGTGGCAGCCCGGGCTCCGAGCAGGCAGGAGTCATGCACGGCAACTTCTCATTGAGCAGGGACCGACCGTCTGGGCATCAGTCTTATCGTCCTACCACGACATGTTCCTAGAACCCCAGAATGTTCGAAAAACAAGAGCAAGGTTATTAAAGCATAAGCCCGAGTGTCAAAACAAGACAGTCTCAGCCAGAAATGTTATAAGAACATTCCGTGCAGACCACAACAAGTTATTAGAACATTCTTTGGTGGGCCTATAGGCGAGCCAGGACGCTTCGCCACTGGTTGATCTCATGGGGGCATCAGATTGGCGATTTCGGAAACCCTGAGCCCAAACAAAGTTTTCATCTCTTGGGGACACATCTCTTACTTCCGCCGCCTTCCGCTGGGCTTCCGCCGACGGGGACGGCCTCGTTTTACTTCCGCCGCCCTTCCGCCGCCTTACGCCGAGGAAGAGATGACACCTCGTTCTATCCTCGAGGGCAAGGCCACTTTTGGAGCGCCCCGGATGTCTGGAGCTTCTAGCGTCCTGCCCAGGCCCCTGGGGGCCCATGGGAGGCCCAGCGCCGATCCAAGAAGAAGTCTGCGCGGGCCTCCGACAGCTTTTCTGCTCCTGTCGCAGTGTCGCTGGCTCTTCCTCGATCTCCACTCGGCGTCCCTTCCCTTGCAAGCCCCTTATCCTGCCCATCGTCACCGTCGTCCTCGTCGGCGTCGTCCTCCTCGTCCCCGGGATGACAATTGTTCCTGTTGTTGCCCCCTGTCACGCTGCCTCCCATGGGCCACGTGCCTTACCATCCTCCGCCTCCTTCCTCTTCCATCTTCCCTCCTCCCCCCGCCACCTCCACCTTCCCCGCCTACACCTTACCCCTCCCTCATCCATCCTTCACCCGCAGACATCCAACGATCATATGATTGTTCAATGGGCGGCCCCGGAGGTCCCGAGATCTATGCTCGTTGGCCGAGATTACACAAAGCAGCGCGATTGAAAAAAAGATCGTCGGAGATCTGGGCTCACGGGGGGGAATCGACCTGGAATCGGCCATACATCGCCGATGGATCGGCGATGGGCCCCCGATGGCGAATCCTCGCATTCCTGGCCGGGGTGGGCTGTCGGGCCCCTGTCGGCGTTGCATGGGCGATTGGGGACCAATGCATGCCCCCGTGCCTGAGCCTATTCCCCCCTGACGTTGCCCCTTAACCGTCCCCGTCCCTCCTCCTCCGCGGCGAGCCCAGGGCCCAGAGCCCAGGGGGTAAGTGAGAAAGGGCGGGC